ACTTTGAAAGAACTAGTAGCTACATTGGCAATTTTGCATATTTGCATATCAAAAGAAAAGGTGATCATAAAGTGTGTTTAAACGTATATAACAGCTTACAATATATAAATAAGCCACAACATTCCAGAGAAAATGAAAGAGATTGCTGCATAAATCCTTGTTATAAGGTCCAGTCATTTCTAAACTCACACCAGCCAAGTAGCAATTGTCAGTTTAAGGGAAGAAATGGATTGAGTTTTGGTTGGCAGTATTTCAGTGTCCACTCTAAAATGGCATGTTGAGAACACTGACAACCTGACATGGTTCTGATTAGGAGTGAAGCTGAGAGCATATGCCCTATAAATGAAAACTCTTCTCAGGATGGGACTTTTGCTTTTTCCATCCTCTTTATCTCAAAATCCATTTATGAGGTTGACATATTTGTTTGGGTGCTATTATACTCTACACATCTTTCAAACAGCTGGAAGATGTCATGGCAGTCCTGACTCACATGATGCCCTTTGCTAGATTAGACATGGGACAACACTGTTACCTTTTGAAATCCTTATAAATCCTTGATGGAAATTATACAAAATTTAGATACAGAGAAATGCACTGATTAATCTAAATGCTTGATTCCAATACACTACATTTATTTTAAAAAATGCCTGAAAAATGGCTTAAATACTAAAAAAAAATATTTAAAAAAAATTACAATTTGCTATAAATGTATCAAAATTTGGTTTGGATGCCTGCAGATAGAAGATTTACACTGCAGTTAAATTAATTTAGATATAATTTTTATACTCAACCAGTCAACTGTGTATGTGGGGATGTAATGTGTGGGTGTATGTGATTGTTTGTGTGTGTGTGTGTGTGTGTGTGTGTAGTCACCTTGCCTGACTCAAGCTCATGCTGAGAGTCAAACAAGTGACCACAGGACACTAATGAGGTCCAGATCTGAGCCAGCTCAACATTCAACACCTACACCCTCCACACCACAGTATTATGACCAGCCACAACTCCTTTACTGAACATTTCTAGAAACCTAAAACTAACCAAACTGAACCAATCTTCATTGAAACTCATTCAACCTTCTACAGGGAGAGAAAGATTGCAGAAAGACTAAAAACTAAAAATATAACAACTGGCATCTGGTTATGGTCGCTATTAAGGCATTTCTCATGTTATCTAACTGCAATTATAGTATAACTGTCTATCATCTAACGATAAACATTAACTATAACACGCTTTATAAAATACCACTACTGGCCAGATTTCAGAGGTCAACTAATGCGTTAAAATGTCAAAAAACAATGTAATTTCTTCAACATTCTGGCGAGTGTGCTTGAGAAACACTGAAATGAATGGGCTTCAATGCAGGAACTATTGGTTGTTTGTAATTATTGGCTGCTCCATGACACACTTTACTTCCGCATTCCTCAGTTCCTATGGAAGCCTATGGGAGTGTCGCAACTCTGTTTCTTAACGGCTTTGATTTGGACAAAAACATCGCTAGCGCTGTAACTAAATAAAAAGAAAATAGAAACGTTTTGAATGATGAAACATAAACCAATGCGCCTGTGACATTATATAGTTTATCTTTGTTCTTCAAACCATCTCAGGTATCTTCATAATGATTAAGTAGCCTATATTTGTGATCCATTGCTAATAGACATAGCCTTTATTACAGTATAGAATATATCTTCTGCATTATTCTATGACAAGAAGCCACAGCAGATCGCAAAAGGAAGTTATTTCAAACACTCGACTGATGTTGTGAAGTAAAACAAGTTATAATGTTCTCTTTTCTTGGACAACAGGTTTAGAAACACTTCTCATTGCAAGTCATTACAAGGAAAGGTGTTTGGCGTGTGTTGTTTTTTCAATTGCACGTTATAAGCGGGGAGGCATTTCCTCATCTCTGCGTGAGAACTCACGGGCACACAAACAGAGCCAACTCGTGGAGAGAAATAAAACATGGAAATTATTTAAATGCAAAACCACAATTCAGAAGCACGTATTGAACTGTGGATGTCATACCAAAAGGGTTTGATATATTGAGAATTGTGACATCCGTAATATATATATAATGAATTTAAAATCATCATATGGCCCCCTTGGAAGTCTCCTGAGGCCCCCAGGGGGCCCTGGACCCTGGACCCTGGTAGAGACCAGTGCTCTAACCCCAACTAATCCAAAACACCTAAAAGCCAACCAAAAACAAACAGACCTAAACCTAAATTTGACAAAACACAACTCTCTGTAGGCGTATTATTCTTACAATGTACCCTAACCAAATGTCAACTGGACTGGACTACTCCATCAGCAATGGCTTGGGACAGACAGCTGAAGAGATGGTGGTCCATATGAAGCCTAAAGGGACCACACTTGTATTGCCTAACATGCTCATGTTGGTTGGTCAAGCTCAGTTAAGATAAATGCAAAACAACAGGACAAAAGACAGAGCGTTTCAAATATACAGAGTAACACGGGAAGAAAGGCATGGTGCACTCATGAGATTAGAGGCAAAGGCTGATCTGATGACTTTGTGCAGATCAGATCCAAACAGAATATTCTCTTATATAACGGCCCGGGAGCTAATCCCTCAACACCACTGTGCTGCAGTTGTTCTTCACTCACTATAACTGCCATTACAGGCAGATTATGGCCATCAACATTTCAATAGATCAGTGGTTCTCAATTCCAGTCCTTGTGTACCACCGCTCTGCATATTTTGCATGTCTCTCTTATTTAACACACCTGATTCAGATAACCAGCTTGTTAGAAGAGAGCTCTATGCATGAACTTTGTTCTGATTGACATGGTCACAGTGTTCATTACTCCCTGAGCATGGGAAATCCGTTGAAGTTTACTTCCCTTCGTAACATTCATTCACGGATTTGCACTACGCCACGGCCTGCAGTGTCTTCACAAAGAGAGGAAACTTACTAGACAAGTGTGACATAATATACCTCTGTAAATAAATACAATTTAACATCTCGCACAATTTAATGCAATGAATAGAACGTATATGCTCCCTTCGAGCTAGAATCATGGCGGAATATCTTATCAATAGAACAAACATCTGAAGTGTTAAAGGGGTCATATGATGCGATTTCAAGTTTTCCTTTCTCTTTGGAGTGTTACAAGCTGATTGTGCATAGATAAGATCCCTGAAGTTGCAAAGACTAAAGTCTCAAAACCAAAGAGATATTCTTTATCAAAGTTAAGACTCTGCCACGCCCCCCTAAAACGGCTCGTTCTAACACGCCCCCACATATCTACCTCACTATGTGGAAATATTTGCATAATGACACCCAAATGTGCACGCAAAGAAAGAAGGTGTGGTTTCAGTAACCGCAGTTAGTGTTGAAGCAGCCATGTCAGGGAGATGCTGTGTGTTTCTAGGCGAAAGCAAAAGCACTTTATTTGGCCTTCCGAAAGTAGATGCATTTAGGAATCTTTAAGATGACTTACAACAGAACAGCAATGCATTTTTTGGACGACCGTTTCGTGAACCCAGGAGAGGAGGTAATTCTGACTTTGCTATGACAATCTGGCGCTTCTGAATCAGCTACGGTTTTGTTATTAGTTTAAGTATTTGCTATTGACTGTTCAAATGCAGAGTTTTGCGCATCGTGTGTGTGTGTGTGCGCGCGAGCGAGCAAGCCAGAGAGAGAGAGAGCACGAGAGACAGAGACAGAGCACGAGAGCGAGAGAGGGCGAGAGAGAGAGAGTCACATCACAGTGGAGTCAGCTGTCTTAACCGTGGCTTGTGTACTGCAAACACATATTCATCACTGTGTCTGTCACGAGACTCTATTTCCCTTTCGGGCTCTGTCTTTACATTTATTTTGAAAGATGAAGCTCGCGATTATGGTAAGGGGCGTTACATTTCCGACGAGTGCTTGTGGTGTTCGGCCAATCACAATGCACTGGGTCAGCTGGCCAATCAGAGCAGACTGCGCTTGTCGGGAGGAGGGACTTTGTAGAAAACTAAGCGTTTGAGAGAGGCGGGGCATAGAGGACCTACAATAATGTACAGTATTTGAAAAATAATGTGTTTTTTGAATATTAAAGCATGTCAACATATTCTGTTACACCAAATACACAAAATAATGATCTTTAAAAAAGCATCATATGACCCCTTTAAGAGATACATCCAAAATGTGCAAAGCGGTGGTAAGCAAGGACTGGAATTAAGAACCACTGCAATAGACAATTGAAACGCATTGGATTCAGCTGGTGCTCACACACACTAATTTGAAATAGCTTGATCTGGGGGATTATAAAGTAAATTAAGCCAAGCAGCAGTTGACATGATAAACAAATCATCCACACAAACATGTTTTCATTAGAATGGGAATATGTCACCCTCACAAGAAGCATATGTGTGATGCTTTACAAAGTATTTGCACTTAAATTCATAATCCATTTACTGCACAGTTGAAGAAGCACAATGCACAGCACACCTGTAAATGAAATGAATCAGACTGATTTATGCAGTTTTCATATTAAAATGATAGACCACTTAGGATTATGATTTGCAGTGAATTTAGTAATTCAGGTGAATTTCCCCTGGCACACTGACCCACAAACACACTGGAGCTTCTTATAGCCTACATGAAGGCTGACTCCTTTCCATCAACATTTTAAGATTTAGCTTTCATGCCCATCTGAACTCACTATGTTATACATCAAAATGATCATCATCATCTTATGTAAAAAGTTTATCTGATAATGTAAAAAGGACGTATTTTATAAGCTTTAACCATTATTTCAATGCTTGTAGCCACCCATTGTGTGTGGCAGCAGCATTAAACTGTTGTGAAGGTGCCAGTCATCCTCCAATAACAGCATCGCTTTAATAGCTTAAACAATCAAAGGACTACAAGCACTGCTTTAATTAAACGGAAAGTAAACCAGTAACATATTGAACCTTTAAAGATCTCAGATAATGAAACGCTCGGTCTAACATTGTGACACACTGGTAACACGAAAACAGACTTTAATCTCACCTCGAACATTGGAGATGCTCCTTTTTCGGGCAGTGTACATCCCAGCAGCTCGGCGAGGAACTTTGCCATGTAAATGTGCGTTGTGTGTTTCGCCGGTTGAAAACGCCGAGGGCTGGCTCTTGTTACTCTCACTACAGTGGCCACAGGTAGTCTTGTTCCAGCAGCGAGTTCCTACAGCACAACTGACCGATTTTTCGCTCCTTGGACTTTCCTTTCAGCATTTCTTTAACGCTGAACTCATAGGATTCATTGTAAAGGTGTGACAGCTCATTGTCTTTGTCTAGTGGAGAGCGCGTGTGTCTCGTGTGCATACAGCGGCTCGCGAGCGCAGTGGAGTCGGGCTCATTGAAAGCCACTTGTAATCCTCGTGTAGGGGAGGGAGGAATCGATGAGGGGACGCCAGACACAGATGTAAAGCCCCGACAGGTTGCCCGCTTCCCTCTTTCTGGAATCTCAAAGATATTTTTGGCCTGTTCGTCCTGAAGCACTTAAACCCTCAAAAACGTGCACTCGGCTTATGTAGTTAAATATTCATTCATTCAGCTTTATTCATGTCCCCCAAGGGGCAATTAGTTTTGCAGCAAGACATACAGACAAACATAAAAAGCACAAAAATAATACAAAAACACAAGCCTAATAATACAATTTACAACCTCACCCACACCACCAAAAAAAAAAAACACCACCATTACCTACATTTAGCATGAATATTGCAGTAGGAATAAATTAGCATCTGTAACAATTGCTCTTCACTAAAGGAAATCTAAGCCGCAAACCAGAAGGTAAAAACTCAGAGTACAGGGGATGATCACTGGCATCACCTGTCTATTATACAGGTCAGTAAGACTACTCTGCTCAGTACCTAAAATGTTACTGCTGACCTTTATTATTCTGGACAAAATGTTTTTAGCCTTTACACTAAGATTGCCATACCAACATATTATAGAAAATGTTAAAATGGACTCAATGTAAGATTTATAGAAAAATCTTATATACAGTGGGTACGGAAAGTATTCAGACCCCCTTACATTTTTCACTCTTTGTTATATTGCAGCCATTTGCTAAAATCATTTAAGTTAATTTTTTTCCTCATTAATGTACACACAGCACCCCATATTGACAGAAAAAACAGAATTGTTGACATTTTTGCAGATTTATTAAAAAAGAAAAACTGAAATATCACATGGTCCTAAGTATTCAGACCCTTTGCTGTGACACTCATATATTTAACTCAGGTGCTGTCCATTTCTTCTGATCATCCTTGAGATGGTTCTACACCTTCATTTGAGTCCAGCTGTGTGTGATTATACTGATTGGACTTGATTAGAAAAGCCACACACCTGTCTATATAAGACATTACCGCTCACAGTGCATGTCAGAGCAAATGAGAATCATAAGGTCAAAGGAACTGCCTGAAGAGCTCAGAGACAGAATTGTGGCAAAGCACAGATCTGGCCAAGGTTACAAAAAAATGTCTGCTGCACTTAAGGTTCCTAAGAGCACAGTGGCCTCCATAATCCTTAAATGGAAGACGTTTGGGACGACCAGAACCCTTCCTAGAGCTGGCCGTCCGGCCAAACTGAGCTATCGGGGGAGAAGAGCCTTGATGAGAGAGGTAAAGAAGAACCCAAAGATCACTGTGGCTGAGCGCCAGAGATGCAGGCGGGAGATGGGAGAAAGTTGTAGAAAGTCAACCATCACTGCAGCCCTCCACCAGTCGGGGCTTTATGGCAGAGTGGCCCGACGGAAGCCTCTCCTCAGTGCAAGACACATGAAAAAACACCTGAAGGACTCCAAGATGGTGAGAAATAAGATTCTCTGGTCGGATGAGGCCAAGATAGAACTTTTTGGCCTTAATTCTAAGCGGTATGTATGGAGAAAACCAGGCACTGCTCATCACCTGTCCAATACAGTCCCAACAAAGATGAATGCGGCCAAGTACTGGGATATCCTGGACGAAAACCTTCTCCAGAGTGCTCAGGACCTCAGACTGGGCCGAAGGTTTATCTTCCAACAAGACAATGACCCTAAGCACACAGCTAAAATAATGAAGGAGTGGCTTCACAACAACTCTGTGACTGTTCTTGAATGCCCCAGCTAGAGCCCTGACTTAAACCCAATTGAGCATCTCTGGAGAGACCTAAAAATGGCTGTCCACCAACGTTTACCATCCAACCTGACAGAACTGGAGAGGATCTGCAAGGAGGAATGGCAGAGGATCCCCAAATCCAGGTGTGAAAAACTTGTTGGATCTTTCCCAAAAAGACTCATGGCTGTATTAGATCAAAAGGGTGCTTCTACTAAATACTGAGCAAAGGGTCTGAATACTTAGGACCATGTGATATTTCAGTTTTTCTTTTTTAATAAATCTGCAAAAATGTCAACAATTCTGTGTTTTTCTGTCAATATGGGGTGCTGTGTGTACATTAATGAGGGAAAAAAATTAACTTAAATGATTTTAGCAAATGGCTGCAATATAACAAAGAGTGAAAAATGTAAGGGGGTCTGAATACTTTCCGTACCCACTGTATATTTAGGATTGTACATTGCAGACCATATTGCATGCAGATTAGTAATTTGTTTAATTAATTTAGTTGTCACTGGGTCCAATTTTCTTTTTTTCTTTTTGGATTGATGAGTGATTTTTGCCTAGCCTAATGAGTAGGCTATATGCATCGTTCTTTTGAGTGGATTGTTCATAGTGAATCTGTTGATCCGATAGATCTGAATGATCAGCAGACTGCAGATCATCTAGACTACTTTTATAGTGCTTTTGTGTGAATTTCGAAGCTTAAATACTGCAGTCCCCAATAATTCTGACTGCAAGGAAAATGGCAAGTACATAATTAAAATTTTTCTTGTGTTAAACAGAAGAAAGGAAGTCACAGATGTTTGGAATGACATGCGGGGGAGAAAATTATGACAGAATTTGTATTCTTTGGTGAACTTTTTCTTTAAGCGTTAGTACAATGTAGAATGCATTGGGCAAATTAGGCTACTGAATAAATATTAGAGAGTTATACAGATGGAGCATGATGTGAATAAGAGTTTCGATAATTAGGTTAATAATGCATGCGATGAGGAAATAATAAATAGCATTATTTATATAGTGGAATATGACTATTTGAGTGTGGTGCTGAGAGGTTGGCTTGCATTCAGACATAATGCTATTTGTTGTTGTAATTCAACAGCCTGCTGATGCGGGACCTGATGGCTGATGGAAGCAGTGAGAGCAGTCCATGGCTTAAGTGACTAGAGTCTCTGGAGATCCTCTTTCATCATGTCCAGGAGATGACCTGAATGCGAAAAAACCCAGAGTGAAAATCCTACTGTTAAAATCAAATGTGTTCCCAAATGTGTCTCCAAAGCTTTTTAACGTAGACTGATGGCCTGGTGAACATACATAATGCAAACAGAACAGCAGGATAAAGAGACTCGCACAGTTTGTCCCTGGCATGAAATCATAATTCACACTTTAATGTTTACCAAATGTGACTGAGAATCACAAATTAAATCATTGCCCAGGTTCAAGCTCACACGTGGGTGGTCATAAGCAGGCGTGTGACAGTGAGAGCGCTGGCAGGGTGTGATTAGGCACATTTGATGAAAATTGTGTTTTGCTGTCAGAAATCCAGCATCAAATGTGTCCTAAGGCTAGAGCTACTGCACCTCTGAACAAACCTTCACTTTATATGGCATAAGGATGCTTTCTATTACATTTCATTTATTCCCTTCTGTTTTAAAAACAGCAGCACTGGAGCTGCAGGAACTTTATGTGTAAAACCTGATGATCATGTTCTCCAGCATGATTTGAGAATGGGTTTCAATGAAAGAAAAACACCTCTTAGTAAAGGTAAAGGGATCCGGGGTATCTGATGCCGACTAATCCTTCATTCACACTTATACCCTATGAACAGAGTCCCATCTGTTTGCAGTAACCTTTCATGACCACAGTTTTGTTTTTTTGGATGAGCATGTGTGGCTTAATGACAAAAGAGGGGTTTAAATTCCCTTTCCATGCACTGTAAAAAATGACTGTGAATTTAACGGTAAAAAACTGTAAAAATGCTACAGTAAAAATCTATTAAATGGTTAAAACAGTAAATTCCCCTACTATATACGGTGAAAAAATGTATTGGACATTACATGCAATTTTTACGGTAGAATACCGTTTACAGTAAATAACCGTTAATTGACATTCCCAGAATTCCCTGTGTTACACAATAAAATTAGATGTTTTTTTGTTTAAATAATAGTTTTTTTTTCTTTTCTTTTTTCTTATCAGTTTTGTACAATAGGGTTGTATATTACATCTAATGTTGTTAAATGAATGTTTATTGCATTATTTAAGTTTCACGTGTCTTACCATGATGGTGTTTAGTGTTTGTGTGAATGACACTGTGTAGCTTCTATATATGTTAATATTTAAAAGCTGCTTGTAATAGGCTTTGATTCATCATGTGACTCTCATTATTACCTGCTTTTGGTGGTTATCCGTGTGTATTACAAAGATACAAAACAGATTTCCAGTACTTCAATAGGCTGGTATATTAACATTATATCAGTTAATGAAATTACGGTATTTAACTGTAAATTTAAGTTAAAAACGTATTACTAAAATGTAGCTACCATATTCTTTACGGTAAAATTCTGGCAACCACAGCTGCCATTTTTTTACCATACATTTTACGTTTTTTATTTTTTACAGTGTGTGTATTTTAGGGATTAAGGTTTAATTTTCTATAAACTTGCGAGGACGTCCTGTCAGTCTGTTACTGAACAGCTATCGGTCATATGCTTTATGTTCAGATACTGAAAATAACATAATTAACACTAAAGCTATAGAAACACTTTTGTGACTGTTGGATTTGAGAAATGTGTGTATGTACGAACCTGTCATATATTCTGTGGATGTGTGAATGTTTTTTAGTTTTAGGTGTCATAGGTAGGCATCCAACTCGCTGTCAGACAGCTCTGTCATGTACTCCGCTTTAAATTATCTGGTATCCAAGCAGCTGAAAGAGGTCTCCATGGTAATACTGCATTTGCTTTCTTGTGACATTGACTGTGATAATACCAGGAATGCACTGTTCCTTAGAAACACACAGTTCCTCAGAACTTCAATTACATTGTGATTTTTTTCAGATTGTGTGATATTTGTATAATGTTTAATTCACGGCTATCTGGTATACAGTTGAAATGATCTTTGGCAAAAGCACTGTCCTGTGGTCAGATATTTTTATATAATATACAGTAATTGACCATTGCCCTCACACATATTAAAATAATTTAATCTTAAAATATTGTCCATGCACTTATGTGGTAAACAGTTGTAGGTAGGATGTTTTTTTTTCAACTGAACCCATGTGGCCTAAATTATTTACTTGTATTACACTAAAAATGGTATAAAAACAATTCTCACTCAGAAATTGCTAAGACATTTTACAAACTACTACAAAGAAAAAGCAGGTAGCACATTAAAGGGAAAGTTCACCCAAAAATGTAAATTCTGTCATTAATTACTTACCCTCATGTCGTTCAAAGACCTCCGTTCATCTTCAGAACACAAATTAAGATATTTTTGATGCATTCTGACAGCTCTCTGACC